GCAAGGAGCTGGAGACTGCCTGAAGAGTCAGAGAGAGGGGGTAGAAAGAAAGGAAAAGGTGGAAAGGGCCTTCAGAATAACAGGCGAGGTGAAGAGAGGAACACACCGGCTTCTCACAACCTCACAGTTCCTTCCCCTCACAGTCATCAATACCCATCAATAGGAATTGGCCTCCAGAGAGAGAGAGAGAGAGAGAGAGAGAGAGAGACAGAGAGAGAGAGGGCAGCCACATGCTACATTAACAAACAGAAGGAAATGTATGAATCAAAGAGGAAACAGAAAAAAAACAAAACAAAACAAACACCCAAATGAAGTGAATGTTTGAGTCGTTTCACCAAAACAGAAACAACTACTAAACTTACTCCTTCATTATATATGCAGATTTAATGCTTAAGATTAACAAGCAAAGAGGAATGCATTGCAAAAAATGACATAGATAGATAGATGTCCTGATTCAATTAAATACTAGTATTAAATACTTCAATTAAATTAAACATTAAATTAAATATTTTTTTTCAATTAAATACGTGCTTTCAATAACAATTGATTTTCAGTGAGTTAGATACATCCCCCTTGTTTAATATATATATATATATTTTTTTTTACAAATATGTTTTTTAACAAACAAAAGGAAATGTATGAATCAAAGAGGAAACAGAAAAAAACCAAAACAAAACAAACACCCAAATGAAGTGAATGTTTGAGTCGTTTCACCAAAACAGAAACAACTACTAAACTTACTCCTTCATTATATATGCAGATTTAATGCTTAAGATTAACAAGCAAAGAGGAATGCATTGCAAAAAATGACATAGATAGATAGATGTCCTGATTCAATTAAATACTAGTATTAAATACTTCAATTAAATTAAACATTAAATTAAATATTTTTTTTCAATTAAATACGTGCTTTCAATAACAATTGATTTTCAGTGAGTTAGATACATCCCCCTTGTTTAATATATATATATATATTTTTTTTTACAAATATGTTTTAAAAATTAAGAACTGGTGTCAGATGTTTTTGCACAAACACACATGCATTTTGCACATTAAAATGAGATTCAGCTGAAACCTAATTATTTTTTTCATTATTATAATTATTTAATCCTTACATAAAAACACAATGATCTGTACAAACATCAGGACCTTGAGCTATTTGTTTTGAACTGTTATTTACTTCTTAATTCACCGATTCTGATTGTGAGATTTATTCTAATCACACTTATTTATATTTCATGTAATCACTATAAATTACACAGACTGTCCCTCTAAAATACAACAAGTGTTTGATTTATTTGTGATGATTTCAAGATTTGTTCTAAAACATCTGTGTGGTTAATGTTGTTTTCTTTATCATTAACAGCTAAACTGTTGTTCACATGAAACACAAACATACATACACCCAGAAAGATGCATCAAAATGGTTCATTATTTTATTGCAAACATTTTATTTGATGTCAAATATTTAGTTCTAGCAAAATCCTACAGCTTTAAAAATGTTTGTTTGAACATACAAATTTAAAGTGTAGAAAAACACACACTGCTGCAATTAAAAGTAAAAAGAGAAATGCACCATGAGATTTTATGTTACAAATGTCTGTGTAAACAACTGTACATGTAATTAGTTTTGAGCTTAAATGAGAGAAGTGCAGTAATTGTGTTTATATTTAAAATTATTTGCCAAAATCTGTCTGTATAAAAATGTCTTGGAACGATGTATTTGTACAGACATTTAGATAATAAAACATTAATAACAAAGCAGTGTGATAGAACAGCAAAGTATGCGCAAATTAGGCTACCTTTTATCAAACACACATGAGAGTTTACTCCATTTGCTGGGATGTGGGCGTGACCAACAGGGTTTGGGAAGCGTCACATGGTCACTAAAGAGGCGGAGATTTTCTAGGCTTTCCCCTCTTCCTCTAACCGATATAACATGGGTTGGATGAATAAGACTATATTATTCATCTTGTAGGAATTTACACAGAACGAACAGAAATTTAAAGTTTTCTTAATTGCACGTGTTTTTAAAATATTAAAGCGAAATGTTCATAGCATAATAGATCAAATGCTTTAGTGATTTGTATAATAAAATAGGCTACTTATCAACTTCAGTTTATTGAAAGATCACAATTTCTAAAAAAAAAAAAAAAAAAGAATACGTTTTTTTTTTATCTATCCCGGAGACCTATAGCTTTCTCAGTACATTCCACAGTTGCTTCTCTAAGCTGGCGTCTCTGAGAGGCTATAAAAATCAGCATGGCCGTCAAATTCTTACAAAGCATTAGGCTCACTATTAGAGAAAATTAGAATCTGATATTTATTGGGCTAACAGAAATTAGATCAAATATATAATAATTAAATATTTAATTTGACTGAAAAACAAATGGGAAACACAAATATAACAACTCTTCAATGTACACTGAAAAAAGGCAACATCTAAATTAACTTAAAGTCACAAATGCTATTTAACATTACTGATCCAACCTATATACACATCAATTTATATCAACAAAAATTGTATAAGTTAAAAATAACTCTTGGTAACAATTGCATGTTACCACTTTTTTTTTTTTTACAGTGTACAAAATATTAATCATTTGTCATTAAACTGTTCATTATGGGTTTTTGCAATGCTAGTGCAAATAAATATGCAACTTTTTTCTGCATTGAAGTGGAAAAGCGTTCCCAGTCAAAGAACCCTCAACGAATGCCAATGGAATGTCTATCATAATTTGTAGATCAATTAAGAGTCACATACGATTCTTCTGGATAAATGACGAAAAGATAAAAAGAAGCAATTTCAATTTTTCTGTTTTATTAGAATTTCAGTTTAGGCAGTAGGATCTTATTTTATTCTTACAGGATTCTCATTATGATAGTTCTATTATGATAGTTCTAGTGATAGAGTTGGTTCTAAATGATGATTAAATTCCATTAGAATTATTTTAGGATTTTAACTAGTTAAGTATTCTTTAAAAGTATACAGTCAACAATAAACGTATCTAAAATTGACCTTTATTATTTTTGTTCCTGTGGCATGGAATTTAATAACTGTTTTCATGTAATCTGCTACTTTAAAACTACAATTCATGTAATCTTTCAATCTAGCATAAGAAGAAATTTGTGAATGGAGTGCAGAATTTGTGTGTTCATTGTTAAACTAAAACTATACGATGACGTTTCACTCCAAGTAGCCTATCGCGGGATTCACAAGACAGTTAAATGCCTTTGACTTCAACCAATGGTTCTTCAAGCGGCAAAGACTAGCGCAGAAACGGGCCAATCGCGAAGACGCATGCAAATGAGGAATTTGCTTCAGCAAGAGCTGAATGTCAACTAGTCAAAGATGGAGTCTTGAGCAAAGAGGGCCATTGGCTTGCCATGGATAAATTACGGTTTTGATTTTTTAGACCAAGAGGGGAAAGAATGCGCGAGCATGACGAGATGGCACTATGTTACGCAGGATGAATGCGAAGATATTTGAAGAAATTCGCGCTTCTTGCCTTGCAACCCTTCGGTCCAACTTTTTCTCTTTTTGTCGGTGTCTTCTGCTTTCAAGGATTGTCCCTCCCTTGGCCAGGTACCATTCATGAAATTTAGGGGGTCCTCTTTCTGTCTGTGAGTAGCATCCGGGTGATTTGGTGGAAATGGCGGGAGCTCAGGGGCAAAAACGACAACGTTGAGTCGGCTTGGGTGGGGAGAACGACGAACGGTGTGCCATAGAAGCCCCCGAACATGGCTGTAGTTAGAAATGTGAAGAGCGCGCTGGTGAGGATATCAAGAGGGCATCGCGTTTGAGAAGTCTTGTCTGTCAGGCTGTCATTCAGTCAAAGGGAACAATCTCCTTTCTTTTCTCTTCTATTGTCATCAATGTTGATCTGTTGCAGCCACCTGGTTGGTTATTTAGTCCGAGGAATCCATGTAAAGCATCTAACTTCACCATATTCTCAAGAAGCCAATGATTAACTTGCAAAAGGGTGTTGTTGGAAGCCTAGTCCGTATTTTCCACGTGTTTTTCTACACAGTCTAAATCAGTAACTGTAAAATAATAGATTTGGGAAATAAAAGATTTTATGAGCTCAAGTGAAATAGAGAAGTAGAAACACGATGTGCCACTTTTTTTCTTTTCTTTTTTTAATAACGCAGCTCCAGGTTTAAAGTCTATATAAACGAAACAAAAATGTGCAATTTCTAATTGCAGTGCTCTGTGATTTTGTTGCAAATGCCGTGTTTGTGGATAAATTCCTGAATGCACTGAAATCGAGGCTTTTTGTGTGCGTCTGCAGTGCCATTCTTATTGCGAAAAAAAATCATTGTAGCAATTTCTATAAATCATTTAATGTCTGTAATTAATGCGTAAAACTGTACTGGTGGATTGCACGAGGTTGTGCATAAATATGTGTGTTTTTTACTCATTAAAGTATGATTTGTACAGTTCGGTTTAATATTTACATCTCAGCCAAATATAAAGGTTAATTTTAGGAAAAACTTAAATCTTCCGTGTTTTTTCCCCCACCAAGTGTCCAAAAGCACTGTTAATGTATGCATTGAAAATAACAACCTTAAGGAGCCTCCGCCCCCTCACCTTGTCCCCTAACCAGGGGGTTTCAAATTGCCACTTTGGCAAGGGGGACAAGAATAATACGTATTAAACGAAGGTTTCTCATATAGCCTACTGTATCGCGGAATGTGCTCTTTGCCCTATTTTGTCCTCTTCCTTCGTATCTCACTCAAAGCAGTGTGTTCATCGCTATTTGCTGCTGAAATTGTATGAAAAACATGCTGCTAAATATAAATGTTCGTTTGGAGATTTTGCCACGTCTTGCTTGGTTTTAATTACATGTGTGTTTTCTCCCTCAGCTTAAGCTTTAATAACAGATAGTATACCCCAATTGGAAGGTTTGGAGATTTTTAATTTGTTATAATTATTTATGCCCTCCAGTATCTTTATTTTTCTTAGAGGTACATGTGTAGGAATAAATTGCTTTAACTGTTGAAATGACATAGCGTTAAGTTGATTATGATAACCACCGTTATGACCAGTAGGCTATATGGTCTAAAATTTACATTAAAATTCCAGTCATTTCGTGGATTCAGTCATTTTGTCATTTTTGATAAATCAGTTCAAAATATAAACCATTATTACACACCCTGTGTTCAATTTCTTTACTGTTGTTGTCCAGGGCCCTTTTTCTGTTGTACTACTGTGCAGTCAGATGAGCAGTGCAATATTAAAAGGGCATTGGCTGACAAAAAATAAAAAAAAGAGGAAAGAAAGACAGAAAAAGTAACCTTCACCCCTCCCCAATAAGTTTTCAAGTTCTCTCACCCTCATTTCGCTATATTACGTGTATGTATCCGTCTAAATTTCATGAATTATATAACAGGTGTAATGAATTGATTCTATAAAGACGTATTATGACGTCAAAATGGCGTTGCTACTCAGATACAGAATTATAAGGCAACAAATGCTGACGCTCCAGTAAAATAAAATTAAGCGTAATGCGTTTAAGTTGCCCATTAAAGCAAACGTGTGGTTAGCGAATATTTATTTACTGACATAAAGCATACCTATTTACTCTTATATAGGCTGTTCCTCTTTAATTAGCCTAAATTCACTTGCCTAACTTCAACTATGACGGATGATTTCCCTTCGCTGGATTTAAGGCCCGTTCAAAGGTGGCCCATGCATTTTGGCTGTGCTAAGGTCTGTTGCTTTGACGATGTTGCACTACTGAACCATCTACTCAAGCAGTGCAATAGTATTGTCATTGCATTCGGCTTTCGCCTACTCCCCCACAAGAACCTTTAAACATTGCTGATGTAAATAATTGTATTCTGCATTTTATTCTTTATGATTTAATTATATAATTAAAATGTTCTTGCAGGTAAAGTTTGTGTTTGTTTAATCGTTTTCCCCCATCTTTCTCAAATTGGAAATTGAAGCTATTTATTGTAAATTTAGTGCCAAAGCAATTTTTTTTCTTACGCTGGAATATATAGCCTATTAATCACTATTGTGGGAATTAAACTGTTTGATGCAAAGTACCACCAGTGCTTCCATCTCCTTGTAACTCCCTACTAAACAGAGCTGGTAGGTGTGTGTAACCATATATTTAGATTTTTATTTATAATGAAGGAGCTCTTCCAGAAGGCAGAAGGAAGGGATGATTCTCTTGTTTGAGCCAGATCGGTGGGGGATGGGACTATTTGTAAGGAATGTAGGGGGCAGGTCCCTTTCCAAGAGGGGAGGAAATGTGAGAAGAGGAGGGGAGGTCGCACGTAGTGACCCCCACAAGAACCTTTAAACATTGCTGTGGCAAGCGGTAGCCTATATGGTTAAGGGCGTTCAAGTAGTACTATTTCAAATGGCGAAAAGGGGGGTTCACACGAGTCTAGACCACCTAGATGTATGAGCCCAGACGTGTGCACGATGTTGGATTTATTCCATGCACAACAGCATTGTTGTAGCGCATGCACCAGGCGTGTGAACTGCAGTATTTGACCTAAGGTATATCTGTGACACCAGGTTTTTCCACTTATTTGAAAATGCCTAGACTACGCCTCCTTCGAAAGAACATTTTGTACGACTGAGGTCGTCTTCGTTTGCATTGAAAGCCACGTGTTCGATTAAGTAACACTCCAACAATGCTTTGAAGTGAGTTTCTCAACCTTTTGCATATTTCGGGAACTTCTGTATGAGGCCTGCTGGCAGAGAGGTGCAGAAAAGCAGTGGATAATAACGAGCGGACATAAATAATCATCTAAACGCCATTTTATGTTTTTTTGTCCATTCGTAAATGTCACTAGCGCACGAAATGTTCACAGAACAGCCAATATTATCAATAATAATATCCTCTTATAAAGTGTTATGAACGTCCTTTTGCTGTTTTTAAATATAGCTACACCCTCCTTATGTGTTTGTAGTCAACAGCAACGTGTTGAATTTTCCTTATTTTCTTTTCAGAATCGTGTATATATATATATATATATATATATATTAGGCTACTTATTTTTGGCTGAGGTGTATTTATATTGCTAATGTAAATAATTGTATTCTGCATTTTATTCTTTATGATTTAATTATATAATTAAAATGTTCTTGCAGGTAAAGTTTGTGTTGGTTTAATCGTTTTCCCCCATCTTTCTCAAATTGGAAATTGAAGCTATTTATTGTAAATTTAGTGCCAAAGCAATTTTTTTTCTTACGCTGGAATATATAGCCTATTAATCACTATTGTGGGAATTAAACTGTTTGATGCAAAGTACCACCAGTGCTTCCATCTCCTTGTAACTCCCTACTAAACAGAGCTGGTAGGTGTGTGTAACCATATATTTAGATTTTTATTTATAATGAAGGAGCTCTTCCAGAAGGCAGAAGGAAGGGATGATTCTCTTGTTTGAGCCAGATCGGTGGGGGATGGGACTATTTGTAAGGAATGTAGGGGGCAGGTCCCTTTCCAAGAGGGGAGGAAATGTGAGAAGAGGAGGGGAGGTCGCACGTAGTGACATTTTACTCTTGGTCAGTATCTGCAAGGTTATGCAATTTGAACTTTTTGGTTGTCTCATCATCTGGCTAAACGAAGTGTAATCTATTGGTTGATACCAGATCGGTGTGTGTGAATACACTTGCGCAATACACACAGACTTTGTATATAGCCTACGTGATATGCGAGTCAATGGCGTGACGCATAGTTTTAAATCAAATATATTACACGCAATTCATACAAAATACCTCTTATATGATGAACGCGTTTTTAACTCTGGAATTATTTCAATATTATCCTTGTAATTGTTTTTGTGTGTGACTTAAATAGGCTACATCTACGGAGTGTAACTTCTGAAATTGTAAAAAAAAACAACAACTTTAATTTAAAGGCTAAAATTGTTAGAGAGGGGGGAAAAAAAATCAATATTGGCATAAGAAGTCAGCCATAATCTTTTATTATTATTGTTTTAATATTTAGGCTACGCGTTCTAACAAACATTCAGGAATCATTTTGTTATCATGTGACAAGAAAAACAAAGAACCATTTAAGACCATCATGACTTGACTGTGTCGAGTTTATAGCTAATAATTATTATTATTTATGAAAATGCACGCTTTATTCAAACGAAGTCCTAAGACAACTTTGTGATATTCATGACTTTTAAAAAAAAAATGATCGTATTATTATTTATTTATTTTAAATTCACATGGATTCACAGTAGCCTACAAGGAACGTAGCCTATTTCAAAACTTTAAATTAAATTAATGGTTACGCCACTAGACATTTTCATGTCTTTTGCAAAAAAAAAAAAGCGTGATAACTTGGAACTTGGCACACGTGTTTTAAACTAGACCTTTAAAAAGATTTCTCATTTTTATCATCTCGAGCATTTGTTACTGACCCGTATATATAGCGTCTCCACTGTAAAAGGTAAGCTTGAGACTCAACGGTCTGAACTGAGGAATTTTACGCTACATACCGCAACGCGCATGCGCAGCGCATTCATGGGGCACTATATAGCATACTGAGGCCTACAGATTCTCTGTTCTCATGATCCTGAACCCAGCTCTGAGCTAGTAGGCTTTGAAGC